TATATAATTCAGTTTCACTGACATTCTTATAAGAATCTTTCAAAAACACAAATGCTAATTTATCCCATAATCATAAGTTACATGCACAGGCTTTGCTCCAAATGCTCTTGATACAGAGATGTGTGCCCTTGTAAAGCTCATTAGACACAGTATTGATGTGCCTCACTGGGGTCACCAAAGGATATAAAGAGGTGAGACGCCCGTTCAGATGTCAGGTAATCATAGGAAACTATAATAATTCATGACAAATAGACTATTTCCCGTATTGCTGCTAGAAGACGCCTCACAGCCGATTGAAATAGAAATACCAGCAATAATCTGATTGCTAGACCCTAATCCCTAAGGTGGTAATTTTTTGACAGCTCTTCTATCATCACCATAAAAATTCTGATCTCTTGACACGTGACAGCTGCAATTAACAGGAGAAGAAGAATAAGTAACCTTACATTTGTGAGCTTGGACTCATTCTGTGTGAACTGTGTGTGACTCCTTTATGGACCCATCATAGTGAGCTGCCAGACCCATTGCCTACATACCACAGGCTCCCAGGAGACCAGAGAAGAGAAAAAGACAGAAAAAAAGGGAGAGAAGGAGGAAGGAGATCAATATGAGAGAGGGAGGAAACTATAGACACTGACAGAATCGAAATTAGTAATAAAAACCTAGAGAAAGAGGCACACAGAACAGAGTGGGAGTAAGAAAAGAAGAGAGAATGACTGAGACAGTGGGATACAGAGATAAAAAGAGTTAGTAAGAGAGAGACTTGTACCTACGCTAGTGTACTTTTCTGTGTACTGAGAAGGAGAGAGAAATAATACAGAGAGAAGTAAGATGGAGAAATATGAAGACTGAGAGGGATAGGGACAGAGAAAGAGGGATAGAGAGATGGAAATAGAGAGAGGCAGAGAAGGAGGGAAGATGGATATGGAAAACAAACAAGAGAGTAGAGAGAGATTTTGGTATAAACATAGCGAATAGAGAGTGAGAGAGTGAGAGGTAGACATACAAAGGCAAAGATAGAGAAATAAAGAAAGGCGGAGTAAGAAAGATAAAAGATATATGTGGCACAGTGAATATGATGGAGTTAGGAATATAGAGATTGACATACAGAAACAAAGGAAAATATTGACAGGGAAAGTTAAACATATATGTGTATTTATATATCGTTACAAATTGGATATTTATATATTGTTACACATTTCTTTACAATCATATGCATATATTTCTAACTTCTTTTTCATTTATATCTATTATTTTTCTACCCTTATCTATCTGTGTATCTATCTATTTATCTATCTTCTCTGTCTCGATCATCTATCCATCTCTATCCTATTGCACAATAATTCTATATAAGAAACACCCCAAAACATAGAGGCTTGAAACAATAATTTATTAATTCTCACAGCCCCATGATCAGGTAGGCTGCTCTGTTGATCTGGGCCAGGCTCAGCTCATGTGGACTTGGTCACATGTAGGTCAGCTGATGGGTTGGCCGGGGGCTGGCTGGTCAAGGCGGCTTACGCTAGAATGAATCAGCTCTGTTCCACGTGGTCTTTCATCCTCCCGCTGGCCAGCTGGGATTTAGTGTCATGACAATGGTGGGGGGCCAAGAGAGCTAGCAGAAGTGCATGAGGCCACTTGAGACCTAGACTCATAACTGGAACCCCGTAACTTCCTCCCATATTCAAAAATGGGGAAACAAACTGCACCTCTCGATTGAGGAGCTGTGAATTCACATTGCAAGGAGTGAGTGCCAGGCTGGAAAATGTGCAGTGAGCAGATTTGACCCTGTGTCTCTCATTGAAAGCAACTATGACGCTTGATTCTGAGCACGGAGAGAATCGTGGTGGCTTTTTTCCTCTCTTCATCCTCTCCCTGCTTGGCCCTGTAAGCAGACACAGTTGCAGGAAATGCACAGCAGAGTAAGTATGCTAAAGCGCCACTGATCTGGACAGAGGACAGGAAAGAGGGACCCCTGTGAATTGGAAAGTGTTGTAGAGATAGCAGAGATGAGAGAGTTTAAGGAAGAAATTTCATACAATGGTTTTTGAACAAACGAGTTTGCCCCCTAGCTGCACAGGCATAGATATGACCCTTAACAGCCTACCACTGGCCTTGCAAACTGATCTAGGGATAAACCATGGCCCAGGTCCTAGACTGACCACTGGGAGGCGCTCACGCAGGACAGATCTGAGTAGCACTGCAAAGGCTTTGAAAGCTGCACTGATGGGAACTGCCCCGCAAAAGCAGGTGGGAACTTGCAACCCCTTACTGGGTCAATTGCCTGTAAACAAAACACTCAGCATTCCCCATAGTATGCAAACACTCCCTAGAGCCCCTAACGTAACATTCAAAATGTGCAGGATTCAATCCAATATTACTCAGTATACGGACAATCAGGAAAATCTCAACATCTCACGATGGAAAACCATTAACAGATGCCAGTCCTGAAATGTCACTGATGTTGAGATAACAGAGAATTTGAAGTAGGTGTTATGACCATGGGAGGAAGTGGAAAGAGAAGTGGAAACTGAGACAGACTGTAACATAGATAAGAAAGATATAAATAAAGAAATAGAAAAAGAAAGATAGGTAGTAGAGATAGGTAGAAAGAGAGATTGAGAGGGAGGGAAATAGAGAGAGTTAAGGAGAGAGCTGGTAAGAAAGAAGAGAGAGGAAGAGAAGGGAAGAAAGAGAAGGAGACAGCTGGAAAAGGACATAGAAAAGCAGAGAGGGATGGAGAACAATAGGAAATAGAGAAAAAGAAAGAGTGTGGACATAGAGATGGAGAGATGGAGGGAAATGAAGAGTGATGGAGACAGCAGCGGGGAGACAGAGACCTAATGATGGAGAGAGAGCCAGTGCAGGAGGCAGAGCTGCACAGCCATTGATGGTGGTCGTCTAGTCCGGGACATCGTTAGGGTTGCAGGATGGTAATTTCCTAAGTTTAATAGTTCTCCTGAATTTACTGGTTGTAATACTCCCGGAAGAATGTTCATTCATAAGCTCTGTGATATCCTGAAATACAGTTTGTTCAGAAAAGGCAAGGTAAATATTTGATTCTTTTTTATTTCCCTTTTCAGAATAATGAGATTGTGCTTTAGCAATCTCCACAGGTGACATATTAATTTTGAGTTACATCAGTGAGCCTGTGTGTTTTTTTATATTATGTCTTTAACATATTTGCATAGCTGTTGCTTTTTTGGTGCTCACATTGTCCTCTCTGTGGCCAGTGAGAGACTCTGTGAGTTGGCTTCTGTGTCCTGTGACATGACCTCCATCGTCTCTCACAGCTTGCTTGCTTTTTGAATGACATGAAATGTCATTGACCTTGTCCGTCTCCTTCTCAGTCCTTGATTCAGCCATTTCTCAACTGAGCCCTATTCTTTCAGGGAGAGACGGTATTTGACGCCATAGCACAGACCCTGGGAGAGCTCGTTACAGCTGGATGGTTACTGCTTTCTACATTTTTCAGTGGATAGCTAAAAAATAAGTGTTTTTCAGAAACAATGGTTTGAAATTGTAGTCTGTTGGGCTTTAATTAAAATGTCAAAATTTTTTATGAGTGTTTCCCTTATACTGTAATCTTCATTTCTAACAGAATCAACATAACCACACTATGCCCAGAGGACGTCATTTGAGAGTTTTTTACCTTTTTCTTCTCTCTTTCTTTCCCTCTATTTTCAATCCTTCCTTTGTTCATTCCTTCTTTCCATCCTCTCTCTCTCAGGCTATGTTATGGTCCATGATTATATTCTGACGCCAATAGTGCCCTCTTTTCATTACTGTAGCTCTATCGTTCTTTTTACATTCTGGTGAAGCACTTTTCTTTCATTGCTTTTCTTAAGAATTTCTTTCCACTCCAGCGTGACAGCATTTTCTCCTTTCTTGGGTGTAAACCACGATTCTGTCTGCAGGGATGTGCTGGGACTCCGTGGCACTAAGCTTGCTTCCTGCATAGTGACCTGGAAAATTTTCTTGCAGAGCTGCTGCTGTGACATCTCATGTCCCTGCACGTGTGGTCCCCGAGGCAGTAGGAAGAGCAGCCAAGTCCCCTCCTTTCCTCCTTTCCCAGCTGTCTGATGGGCCGAAAAAGTGAATCACCTGAAAGAGAGGCCAGAACAATGATGGAGGGGGCCTTTTTCTACATTCTACTATGAATAATGTAAACATGTGTCCAAATACATTATAAAAGCGAGGGTGAAAATGTGTGCACACACCACTTCAGTTCTCCCATGAATTCACTATTTTTGGTGGATTGCCTATCCACCCATCTAGGAATCTGAGTAAATCACAAATATGGGTTCACTTCCTGAGGGGAGGGCAGCCTAATAAAACACAGGGTGCCCAAGGAAACCTGAATTGCAGAGAAACAATAAATACATTTTTAGTTCAGGTGTGCCCAAAATATTGCATAGCACGCTCACCTTTTTATTTTTTACTATATCTGGCAACCTTATGTGAGGTGGCCTTTCTACTTGAGAAAGAACAGAAATTGTCTAAAAATTGTCCTGTCTCACACACACACAGATACAGACACTCACACAGACACACACACACACACACACACACACATACATTCAACCTGGAGAAGAGTTAGATGTAGACCAACATAACTGATCTTAATTAAAAACCAAGTTCCGTGCTTGTCAGCTTTGCTGTGGGTGCCTCACAGTTTGCTGACAGATGTGAGAGGAAGGCGGTTCAGGGTGAGAATACAGAAGCTGCATCGTAGGACAAGCCCATGGCAGAAGCGTGAACACTGAACCCTGAGTTGCAGGGAAGTCCCCCGACTCAGGACAGCTCCCTCCACCAGGGGACATGGAGCTGCACCCATGGCTCTCCTGCCCCCTCCATCAGTTCAGGGGGTCCCTCCCTCTGCTCTGGGCTCTCAGGGCTCCTGGCTCCTCCTTTTCTGCAGAGGGCCTGCTCTCAGCCTGCCCCAGGAGGCTCTCAGGAAATGGGCTGAGCAGAGAGGCAGGGCTCCTCCCCAGGCCTCCCCCAGCCCCACCCCCTCTGGGTCATCAGCTGGGTGGTCTTCTAGGAGAGCCCCTCAGTCACTGCCCAACTGTGACAGCTGTGCAGAGCCCGGCTCTGACTCCCTCCTTGTGTCCTGGGCTCCCTGTCTTTTGAGCAGGACTGGAGTGTGAGAGGGTGTCTGCCCCTCCTGTCATCTGTCCCTTTCCTTCTAAGGCCTGAGGAGGAAGCCATGCTGTGGGCTCTCGCCCTCCTTCTAGCTTTCCTGGCTCCTGGTAAGTGTGCTGCCTGGATGATCCTGGGATTTTTCTTTATTTTGGCAGTGGGAGGCCATAGTAAGGAATTATTGTTACCTCTTCCTCATTATTTTGTGTTGTTTCCATTGCAGCCACTCAGGTGTCTTCCAACTTGGAAGGGACACAGATGTCAGTCACCAGGCAAGCTGGGTCATCTGCTGTGATCACTTGTGATATTAAACAAAGCAACAACTATGTCCACTGGTACCGATACCAGGAGGGGACGGCCCCACAACGCCTTCTCTACTACCAGCTCTCCAGCTCAAAGTTTGTGATGGACTCAGGGTTCAGTTCACAGAAATACCATGCTTATGCAGGCACAGGGAAGACCTGTGAACTTTTAATCAAAATTCTAGAAGAAAGTGATTCTGGTGTGTATTACTGTGCTGTCTGGGAGAAGCACAGTGATTCAGATCTCCTCTATCCTGCACAGAAAATTTTGCTTGTGGCTGCCGAGAGCAGCCTTGACACACAGGGTAGACCAGTCCCTGCCTCCCTTTCTGCCCTGACTTCACCATGCTCTGAACAAAGATAGACCCGGGGCTCAGTGCTCAATCCCCAGTCTTTTATACCACGGGTCCCCCCTCTCCCCTATGAGCCGTAGCACTTTCCTAAAGACCCAGCTCCCCTCCCCAGGCCTTAGGGAAGCAGTCTGGCAGACAGGGTATTCTTTCAGCTCTCCTAGGAGCTGTGGGGTCCATTCAGTCTGCTTCTCAGGATAGACAAGGTCACCTAGAGTTGATGTGTTCAGGGAGACATTTATGAAAGTGTGTGCCCACACACCCAACTGAGCAAGCCGTGTGGGAATAGGGTGTGGAGAGAATGAAGAAGAGACCCAGAGACAGCATACAACACATGTAGTTTTATCGGGACTTACGCACAGGGATTGTTCAGGGGTGGTTGACTGGACAGAGCTGTGTACCCCCTACCGGGGGCAGAGAGGGATTAGCTTATATAGGCAATGCGCACAGTCTATGTGTTTGCCAAGTGGGACTGTCCTTGGTACAAGCAGCATTCCCAGGAAGAGCAGGTCATGTGGAAGGGCTCTGTGTTCCTTTAAGATGTGGTGTTCTTTGAGTGAGGTAAGTTAAGATCCAGGTTTGCCAGGCCTTGGATCATTACAAATCCCAGAGCTTTGGTGTCCCACCCAGTAGTGGCCAGAAGGACACATGACTCTTAAAGGGCTCACAGGATGTTGCTCAGTACATGAGACCTTGCACTCCAACCCCCGTATGTTCAAGAGTCCCTTATGATCTTATTGTGACATTCTTCCTCAGATCCCCTTGGGTCAGACACCTACAGAAACATAACCATATACCACAACATCAATAGAGAGCACAGGAAGAAATTAACAGCCATAACAAAAAAGCAGAAAGGCCAAAGAACACTTTCCACCATGGTAACCCCGTGGTTGAAGAGAGAAGCAGCTCAATGCATACCAGTAATTCTATAAGTCAGCAATGGTGTGTGCCCAGTCAGCAAAGAGGCTGGCAGACATTGTCCTAAGGAAAAAAAGTACGATGTTTTAAGGGAACTAAAACAGGGAGGTCATGACTGTCCAAAGACACGCCATTGCAGTGTCCTGTGTTAGTATAATACCAGCCTGTGGTTTTAGACTAGGATGGAAAATATCACACTGTTTGTCCAGTTGGTGTGGGCACTGTAGGGCCAGTGACATAAGACAAGGCAGGAAGAATAGCACACCAGAGGGAAAGGATGAAAGTGCCTTGGGGAATTGGAGGCCCTGGATTAGTAAGTTCAGAGGTTTTGTGTGGTCTCCCTGTGATAAAGGGTGTTAATACGATATCTTGCTCTAATCCTGTCCGCCATGGGGCTAAGAGCCCACACCAGCGGGGGCCCCATCTGCCAGTACCAGGGCCAAGTGACCGCATGGGGTCCAGGTAGGGAGTTCTTCCACCAGAGGCAAAATCAAGATTTTCTGAGTGCCTATTTGTGGTTGTAGCTTTTCTTCTCAGTGGGCTCTTGTCTGTAGATGTCCTATCGGGTCCTTGTGTCGACATCTGATACACACTGGGCTGGGTACGTCTTTCATGTTCATTTAGTTGACATACAGCAGTTGTCAGGTGTCTTGTCCGGTGGGCTAGGGTCCTGTCTTCTGTCCTTAATTGTTATTTCAGTGAGCCGTTCATTCGTTCCACCAGCCCCGTGGCTGTGGGGTTGTATGGCAGGTGGAAATGTCAACGTATGTTCATTTGATCAGCCCATGTCTATACCTGGTGACCACTGAGATGTGTGCCTTGGTCACTGTGGATGTCTATGGGGACAGCATAAGTGGCAAAGAAGTGTTGTAGGTCTCTTATGGTAGTGTTTTGTGTGACCTTCTTGCTGGGGTATGCTTGCAGCAGTCTTGGATATGTGTCCACACAAGTAACGGCATACCGGCAGTAATCAGAGAGGCAAAGGCCCAATGTAGTCCACCTGCCAGCATTGAGTGGGCTGGTTGCCTCTGGTGATTTGGCCTACATCCTGGGCAATGGCCCCGGCTCTCCGCAAGGAATAAGAAGGCCACACCTGGAAGAACTGTACTATATCAGCATAGAAAAAGGGGAGGCCCCAGGCCTTGGCAATAGCCCATAGGGTCCTTTTTCCTTTATGTCCAGTCTTCTTCTATAGTCACTCCACCCCTCTCTTGGATGGTACTTCTTCCAGGAGATGAATCCTAGCTAACTCATTCACTTGTTGGTTTCCAGGTGATGTTGTCACCTGATGTGCAGAGACATGGTGCACGGTTATTGTCATTCCCTGGATCGACTGCCAGGCATCATCCCAGAACTCTGCCCTCCACAACTGGAGACCATTCAAAGTCCACTTTTGTTGTGCCCATTGGACCATCCACAGGGAGAGCCATTTTAGACGGCCCAGCTGTCTCTGCACAGCCTATTGGATCAGGCTCTTGAGTCAACACCATCCAGGCGGCATGTAAGTCAGCCCATTGGCTACTGTACCCAGAGCCAGAATCCAACCACACGCTGTTGGTCAAAGGCTGGATGGCCACTGTCATCCACTGGTTGGGGGGAGTTGTCCCTTGCAGAGCCATGCATATACCAGGCCTCTTCTGGAATTGGTCCTTCTCCTTCCTGTGAATTTGACAGGGTTTCAGCCATGGGCACCTCATCCAACAGGGTTGTTTCTTCTGTGGTAGATGTTACTGGTCCTAGAATGGCATGCAGTTATGCACTTAAGGGACTATTGTGGGTCCCCTCCTGTGTGGTCAGGGTCCCTCATTGTTCTAAGTATTTGTGCCACTTTTTCAATGTCTGTGTTTGGGCTGTTCCCACATGGGGCTTTTGGAAAACATCCCCCGGCCACCCTGTAATGGGCAGATGGGTATCGACTGTGATTGGCAGGGAACAGGTTATGGGTTCCACCTGCTGGAGGGCCAAGTAAGCAACACAAAATTATTGTTCCAGGGTGCTACACCAGTTTTCAGCCCCTTTCCATAACTGGGACTAGAAGCCAAAGGGAACTTGCTTATTGCCTTGCATCTGCCAGAGACCCCATCCGAACCCCTGTGGGTAACTGGAAACATCCAATTCTCATGGTTGTCCCTGTGTCAAAACACCCAAAGACTTAGTTTGTTCTATTGCTATTTTACCTTGGGTGTAGGCCTCCTGTTGGTGGTCCCCCAGTCCCCGATGACAGTCTTTCACACAACTTAGAAAGAGGGCAGAGCAGTTGGGCTAAGTGAGGAATGAAATGATGCCAATAACCTAATAAGCTCAGAAAAGTCTGTAGTTGTTTGTGGGTGTTGGGTGTAGGGAAAGCCTGTATCTTATCTATAACAGCAGTAGGAACCACTTTTGTCTTACCCGACCAGACAACACCCAAGTATTTGACAGATCCCCCAGGTCCTTGTAATTTGTTGTCATTCACTGCTCACCTTCATTGGCATAGGTGGTTGACGAGGAAGCTGGAGGCTTCCTGGAGGTCTTCAAAAGACTCAGAGATTAACATGACATCATGAATTTAATGGGTCAGGCCAGCGAAGGCATCCATACCTAGGATGCACTCAGGTATGGGGGCAATATATACCATACACCATTTTGGCAGGAGACACCCTACCTGCAGCACCAGCAGCACTGGTTTCACCCTAACTGTGCCCCCACCATAACCCTCTATGACAGAAATAGGGCCATCAAAATGGGATGCATTTCCATGAATCAGAATGCATTCTGCTCCTGTATCTGCTAACACTAAAACCATTATTTCCAAACGTGGCCTCCTGCCCCTCAACATCTGGGCCACCTCCAAGGCATTGGGGGAGTGGGTCAGGGTCCCTTGGCCATCTTCCTAGGAATGAGAAGTAATAGAGCTCATCTGCAACCCTAACAGCAAAATACCTTCCACACCAGTATCCCAGAGATGCAAAGCCATCTCAGGATGCTTACTGGACGTGGCAGCCGCTTAAAACTCTAGAGGCAGGTGCAGAGTGAGGACTGTCAGCCGAGCAGGCAGGGAATGAGTGAGGCTGGAAGCTGGAGTGGCCCAAGAGCTGGCAGCAACCTTGCTGTGGGACCAGTAGCCCTCAATCCCCTCCACCTGACCTTCTTTCTTCCCCCATGTGGGTGGTGGCTGTTCTCCAGAGGAGGGCAGAGGGCAGTGTGCCTAGGCTGCTTCGTTTCATTACCTGACAACTGGCCTCAATGCCCCTCCAACCGGGCTTGCTTCAGGGGCTTCCAAAGAGGGCCGATTGGCAGGTGCTAAGCAGGTCATTCAGCTGGCGCTACTCCTGGAGTGAGCACTTCCTCCTACAACTGCCTTACTGTTACTTTTCTTTCCATCTCAGCTTCATTGTGAGCTCTCCAACAGTGAGGAGGGGCCATCCCACAGCTGCAGCAATGGCCTGGGCTTCTATCATGCCCAGCACTTCTCCTAGGCCACTGGCGTTTTGAAGGCATCCTTGTACTCATGCGTTGGGCCTCATCCATCTCGGATGGCAGCAATCAGCCCCCATGTTGAGGACACCAGCCAAGTCGAGATTTCCCCTGCAGATTTCATCTTCCCATTCCCCTATAATTTCAGCACTCATGGGAATTTCCCCCATCTCCTGGCTAGCTCACCATGTGTCTGGCCACACACCCAGTTGAACAAGCGATGAATGGCAGGGTGTGGCGAGAATGAAGAAAAGACCCAGAGATAACGTACGAGACATATAGGTTTACTGGGACTTATGCATAGGGAGTGACCAAGGGCGGCTGGCTGGTGGGAGTTGTGCACTCCCTACCGTGGGCAGAAAGGGGGTTGCTAAGCTAGGCAGGGGCCAAAGGCTAAAGGTTTGGCAAGGGGGACTGTCTTTGGTATAGCCAGTATACACAGGACCAGCAGGTCATGTGAAAGGTCTCTGTGTTCCTTTAAGCCTGATGTTCTTGGAGTGAGA